TTTTTTTTTTTTTTTTTTTCCTCAAATTTGTGCCATAATAGAAAATTCAAAGGCCACTTTTAGAAAGTTGTCACAAACTTTCCTTAAGAACAAAAATGAACAGAAAAATGAGTGCAAATAGCAGAGAAGGCAGAAAAGGAAGGATATATGACTGACTTAAAGTGCACACTCACTCTTACGTACTAGTTTCAGCAATCTGTTGCTATGGTTTCCGTGTCTTTTTCCTACGTAAGTTTCACGTAATCGATGAGAGGAGACATGTACTCACAGTTCACATCACCCCATAAAATGAAGCCCCTTCAGACTCAGTGCTGTGACACATATCCGTGTCATGACTGCATACATATCATGCTGCGGAGGTTATGGCATAATATGGCATTATAGCATCCTTTTCTCTGAGCTACGCCTAGAAATACATAAATGTAGAAATAAAACTATAACTTTGGTTTCTTCTCATTTTAAGTGAGTATTTCTGAAGCAAGCAGCAACTAATGGGATAAAGTAAGAGTTGATATATTTCTTTCATATGTGCTAAGACTTTCAATTCATGGACCAAATTTGGACCAACTGATAGCAGATGGTTCACATCCGAGGAAGAGAAACATCTGAATATTTATTGCATTTAAATAAAACATGAAGATCCAGGGTTGTGGGAATATAATGACTTTTTTTTTTTGACTTTTTACAACGCAATGTATATAAAAAAGTTGTGGTTAAGTTGTTTTATTGTTTTAATTATTGCTATATAATATTTATAATGTTTGTATTTTATCTTGCTAAACACATTTAAATTTTAGTCCCATAATATTAGTCTATGTCTAAGTGAATGTTTTTTTTGTGTGTCTCCAGCTTAACCAGGTTGCTGAGGACCCTCTGAAGCGGCCGGTGGTTTACGTGAAGGGTAACGACGCCGTTAAGCTCATGAACATCGTCAACAAGCAGAAAGTGGCCCGAGCTCGGATCCAACACAGGCCGCCGAGGGTAAGAGCTCATAAAAAGGCCTCTAAGATGCTGGGAAATGCGAGCGAGAAAAAGCTAACGTGCGTGTTGGGATCACGACAAAGTGGGAGAACATGTTTGCGGGGTTATGATTGTGAAAGTCTTTAGATGAAGGGAACAAGTGTACGTCCCAGCTGTGAAATCAGACTCTGTCTTTCTTCTGGGTTTCTGGCGGCCCCGAGGCTGAAGGCTTTTTCACAGCTCCGTGACAGATTAATATCAGCCGGTCAAAGGGCTGTTTGTTTGCTTGGCTATTTGATAAAAGGCCAGCACGCTTTGAGGTCAAGTAACTTGACATAATGAAATTCTGGGATAAAAGCCTGTTTGAAAAAAAAAAGGGAATTATGCAGGGGAGGAATGAAACGAACTTGGCTTTCAGGCTTTCTTTGAAGTATCAGTGATCTCCTTTTTATTCTAGATAGTAGAGAACAAGGCAGCCATTTTTTCAGCATTTTATGGGACCCAAATATCCAGCTAGTTGCCAAAAGACGCTGAAAAATGCAATTCTACAGTAACTTACACAGTGGAGCCGCTAGAAAAAAGTTGTTAAAATATTTCAAAATATTCTAATGTGATACATGACTAAAAAACCAACCATGAGGGAAAACTGCTATAACCTTAAAATATAAATGTAAATTCTGTTTTAGCAATCATTGGGAAAAAAATATAAGATAAAATCAGCATTAAGTCTACATTTCACACCTGCCATTGGTTAGAGTAAATCCTATTAACCTAAAATAAAGTGCAGATGTTTCATTCCATTTACTAACAAAGTTGTAGTGTCCAGAGAAAAGGTCATCATATGAAGGAATCAGTCAGGAGAAGAAAAAAAAGTATAGATCATTGCTTTGCATAGCGAGGATAGTTGGACAGAGAAACGGGAAAAGTACTACAGTAGTTGACTTTTACATGAGAGCTAAGACTTTTATTATTCTCCTTAATAACGGTCAGTAAAAAGGATGGGAGGAGGGAAGCTTTTTCCTCCAAAGAAAGCAACTAAACTCAGTTTAAAGCTTCCAAAGTCTTGTAGCAGAAATCCAGTAAAAAACAGTCCTGACCCTCTGAGCAACATTTTCCATCAATAGATTAACAATGGAACTATGCCTGAAACAATTAATCGGATTAATCGTGATTAAGTGATTATTGAAATAATCGTCAAGTGATTCAGTAATCGGTTAATCGTTAACTGGAGAATAGAGACTCTAAAACATTCCTTTACCTGAAAGGTAACTCACTAAAAGCAGGAAATATACCAAAATTGTAGAAAATATATAAACATTTTGCATTCAAGACGAAGAACCTTTTTTTTTTTCACTGGAAAAACAATCTAAAAATAAGTAAAAATGTCTTAAATTAAGTGTATTTCCCCTTAATTTGAGTAGGTAAATGAGATAGTTTGCCAACGGAATGAGTATTTTTACTCTGATAAATAAGATAATTAGATAATATGCACTTGAAATTAAACAATGCTATTCTGTTTTCTTATTCTAAGTGTAAATTGCCTTGTTCCATTGGCAAGATGTCTCTTTTACTACCTTAATCCAAGAGCAAATGCACTTATTTTAAGAAAAAATTACTCGTCTAGATTTTGATTTTTTCCAATGTTTCCATTAATGTTTTATCCTGAGGCATTCAAAGGATATAGTTTTAGCTTCACATGGTTTAAAGTCTGTGTAAAATCTTCATTGAAGAACCTTTTGTTGTTATTAAATATTAATTGATTAATCAGAAAAAAAAATTGACAGATTAATCTTTTTGCAAAATACTCGTTAGTTCAGCCCTGAATGGAATTCCATTCCTACTGCTTAGCACGGTAGTGGCTGCATGCTTGGACAGACAGAACTGGCAGTTATCTCAAGTTCACCTGATATATTCAGGGTTTCTTTTGGAAAGCAGCAGATGAGGAATTTCTTTTTCGTTTGGTTTTTCAGGATCACGTTAAATTCAAGCTTACATCTGAAAAAGAAATAAAAGAACAGCTTTGGTTTCGAAAAATGAAAGTTCTAATCTGCAACAAAATCTCACCAAAAATCTGTGGGGTCTCTTAAAAAGAACTTCCAGTAAAAATCTTCCCCAAAGTCAAAAAAATTGAGAAAGCTTTAACAATATTTACTATAATAGCTAAAATATGACCTCAGTAAATTATTGACTCCAGGGGCCAAAAAATTAGGCTTTTATTAAAATAAAAAGACTTAGACAATAATTAAACCATTAGGGAAAGCTCATTGTATTCTAACTGATAGTTAATGAGCTTCCACAGTGGAAAACATACAGAAAACCTGTGCTGAATGGAAATCCATGCAGGTAGCATGAACTTTATAATGTGTTGGAAGGATAATTTTTTCAAAAAAATCTTTTTTTTTTTTTTTGTCCACAGCAGCCCACAGAGTATTTCGACATGGGCATCTTCCTTGCTTTCTTCGTCGTGGTGTCGCTGGTTTGCCTCATCCTGCTCATCAAGATCAAATTAAAGCAAAGGAGAAGTCAGGTCAGTGAGTCACACGACGACAAACTAACGAGCGCTGAGGCTCACGTGCCTTTTCTGTTTTGGTTTATCATTTCTTTTTCCAGTCTGGGAAGTCTTCACTGCAGGCGTCGAGTCAGGCGACAGTAGCTCTGCCGCTGAGTGATTCCTCTTGTGCGTTGACAAAAAGCTCTCAGTGGAGGCTTACGTCTAGATGCATGAATCTGGATTAGCATGTAATTAATGCTGATGAGAAGCCGGCTGAAGGAGCCAAACACACATGGATGTCATGACAGGGCAGAAAACCTGCAGCGGCATCTGTTAAGATGGATGTAATCCAGCCAGGATGCATCGTTTTCCTCAGTTTGATGATGGCTCAGTTTTCCACTTTCCCTTCTCTAAATATTAAAACGAACAAAAGTTATTCTGAACTATACAGCTCCCTATTAGTACTGTTGCTTTAATGGAATGATTCATCACAGATTTGTCTGAACGTTTTGTCCCAAGGTGACCGTGCTGTTCTTGATCTGTTGTCTGGATCTTAACGAGCTGCAATTATCTAGACAATGGACTATAAAGGAAGAAACACCCTGTGTTGAGGTTTAGCTAATCTTCAAAACAAGTATTTCTCTCTTTAGTCACCGTCTGCGATCAGACTCATGAGTTATCTAACTGTTAAATTGCATTAAGGACTACTTTGGTTTTCTATCACCTGGGAAAGTATTTCATCATCACATCAGCTCTCTGACACTTCTCATTTCAGAGTAGCAAACAGTTTAAGGAATGTTTTCTGCTGTTGCGTAAATCCAGTGTATTTCATTTTAAACGTGCTGATTGCCCTTTCTCCCTGCGCACTGCAGAGCTCCATGAACCGAATGGCCATCCAAGCGTTGGAAAAGATGGAAACGCGCAAGTTCAAGGCAAAAGGGAAGGGGCTGCGTGAGAGCAGCTGTGGAGCCTCTGATTCGCTGAGCAGCAGCTCCACCTCAGACTGCGCCATTTGTCTGGAGAAGTACATCGACGGGGAGGTAAGAAAGGAAATCCACATTTAATATTAATAGAAAAACAAATGAGTAGCAGGTAGCTTTCAGGTGGAACCAAAATGGTGAAAGTTATCCTAAAATCTGGGGCAACCTTCTGTAAGAAGTTAATTGGTAAAGTGCTGTTCTTAAAAACAATGCTAAAAGAATATCAGACAGACAGACACAAAGGAGCAATGGTGAGACAAAATTAAAATCATAACCTTTTTTTGGCCGACATGTAAAATACGATACAGAGAAAGACGAGCATTGCACAGCTAACACTAACACTAGAAGAAAACCTGCAAACAACTTTGGGAGCAAGGCAGAGGCTCACCTTCCAACAGGATATTGACACTCGGCTTGCAGCCACAGCTAGCATTCAGGTTTGCTCCTCAGCCATGATTGTGCACAACCTAGAAATGTGATTTCAGTTACAGCACTCAAAGCATAACAACAATATGAGCAATTTAGATACATCAAAGCATACTTAGTGTAACAAAGGCCTTTTCAAACTCTGTGATGAGAAACAAGTTTAGGAAATTAACATCTTCTGTTGTTTGACAACAAATCTGAGCCTAAGCTGTTTTAAGAAATAATAATCAAGTTTCTTTATAGGTGGTAAAGAGATCTGCAGCAAACAATCATTTTGCTAATCGATGAATCTATTATTTTTGAATTAATCAATTAATGATTGGATAGCAAAAGGTTTGTTAAAGAAGATTTTTTTCTGCAGACTTAAACAGGTGAAACTAAAAGTTTTCCACTTGAAGAGTTCTGGAAAGAGTCTATTGATGGAAATCATTATTATCTTAAATGCAAACATTTTTTATTAGAATTTTGGTATATTTAACTCTCTGAGTGGGTGGCTTTGTCAACTAAAGGCATGTTTTAAAGTCTCTGTGCTTAATCGATTACTAAATCAGTTGACAATTATTTCAAGAATCAATTTATATGATTGATTGTTCCAGAAAAAGACGTATCCCAAAAGAAATGTGGGTTTAAACAAAATTAACAAAAATTGGAAATTATCTGGAAAAAAAGTCTCAGAATTCCCCTCCTACTTCTATTATCCTGAGGTGGTGTCAAAGACTTTTCCAAGAGGCTCATATAAAAAGCTTACTGAACTCCGAGTTCAAGGAGCCACGAAGTTTGGTTCCTTTCATGACAGATTTTGTCGACATTAAAGAAAAATGCGGTGGACAATAGAATGGAAGTCCCCCCGATGTGCATGGGACCGCAACCCTTCAGTTTTTTTACTAGCGTCTTTTCCGCCACCATTTTAGATGTCGAGATCCGCCATTCACAGCACCTGGAGAGATAAGGGGTACCCACTTCCTGTTGCTCCCCGCCACCAAGTGTGAGCTTCTATAACCTTAATAGAGTCAATGTTAAAAAATGTATCCCAGTCCTGGACTTCAGGGTTTTACTGTAACTGCATTGCTCATCCTTTGTTCATGGATGCTGGAGGGACAAACCCCAGGGCCCCAGGGGGACAGAGGCTGAGTGTGTGTTCTCTGTGGTTATGAGTCTTTTTTGGTGAGAAGAAGAAAACACAACAAAGCACGGCGCCGGGATTGCACAGAAGGAAGTGGCGATATAAAAGGCTGAAAGACATCAAAGTGGTTTTTGAGGAGTGAACTAAGCAACAAAGGCCTTGGTGGAAAAGAGTCTGAAGATGAGTCATGTATTAAGCCACAGAGTTTTAAGGCCAGTGAGAGACTTCTTGTTTGGGAACATTATAGCTGCTCGGGCTTTTGTCAAAAATTCCCTTTTTTGGCAAAACGGCATCGAAATCCAATGTTTAAAAGGATTGTTTTATAGCTTTGTGCAGAATAAACAAACGTTATCAAGCAGAAAGGTTATTTTTGCAGAATGATAAGGCACCTTTTTTATGAATGTAGTTTGAGGCATGGTATTGAGTTGGGTCCTCAGGACTAACAATGTTCATATTAAACCCACATTTGACAATTGTGTGGCTGCCGCCACCTAGTGGCCACACAGCAGAATGGTGTAAGAAGAAATATCTAAAGCAGCATCAAGTTGTTCCTGAGGGCCGCTGTGCTGCAGGTTTTAGAGGTTTCTCCGCTTTAGCAGAGCAGATTCTGATGATTGCAGTTCAGCAACAGCCTTTTAATCATCTATCAGTGTAAATCAGCCGTGCTGGAGCAGGAAAACCTCTAAAGCCTGCAGGACAGCAGCCCTCCAGGAACATCTTTGGGGGTGCCTGATCTAAAGGAATTAGCTGCTGTTTTAATCAGGGAATTAACATGATTATTCAAAGCTAAACATTGATTTAAATGAATCCTCTTAGGATTTATTACTTTTTTTTTATCATATGCTGAACTGACCTTGTTTCAAAAACAGTTTTAAAGCCGATTTACTTCATCTGATGGTATTTTTTAATTCATTTTAACGAATCAGGGCCCCTGCAGGAGTCTCAAGAACTGATAAGAGTAAGGACCTAAACCTAAACTGACAGTGCTGCATTTAATAGTCAGATTTCAGTACAAACTTGTCTGTTCTTTTAGCATGCATTGAGAAGAGATTTTTTATTTATTCGTTTTCTATGAAACACTGATAGGTCTAACAGACTGATTTATTCCCTTTCCTCTCCAGGAGCTGCGTGTGATCCCTTGTGCACACAGGTTTCACAAGAAGTGTGTTGACCCCTGGCTGCTTCAGCATCACACCTGCCCCCATTGCAGACATAATATTATTGGTGAGTCTGCACACAGAGTCTGGCTTTTATTTCTGCTATAAAAATACTTCTAAATCAACTTAAAATATTTTTTATTAAACTATTCATTGTTTTCTTGAAACAGAACAAAAGAAGGGAAATCCAGGACCAGCATGCATGGACCCTAGCAGCTCGATCCATGGCAGGCAGCGGGTGGTGCTCCCAGTCCATTATCCCGGCAGGGTGCACCGTGCTGGCCAGGTGACGGCTTACCCAACCAGAACCAGTATGGATCACCATGGCAACCCTATCACTGTCCTCACAGTGGACCAGCACCCAGATCCTCAAGGTCTGTACCCGCCTCAGTCAACGTCGGCCTTCCTCCGGAGTTATCACCCCGCCCTCCATCTGGAACATTCGATCAACCCCCACCACTGCAGGCTGGAGCACCGCGGCCCCCCCGCCTATCCTGCACAACAGCATCACAATGCTTTTAAACGACCCAAGTTCCACGGCCGCGGCTTCTCCAGAGCAGCTTGTTTTTCGCAGTATGAAACCATGTACCAGCACTACTACTTCCAGGGCTTGTCTTTTCCTCAGCAGCCTGAAGGCGGCCAGGGGCCGATGGCTGGGCAGCTGGGAGGAGGAGCAGGAGCCCACAAGGGCCATCCCAGCAGAGCCTTTCAGCAGGGACTCCTGTACCCTACAGTGGTCCACATGGCACCTCCCTCTTCCTCCAGGGTAGGGGACAGTGGCAGCACTTCTGGCCTGAGCTGCTATCATGGCCATCGGTCCGTGTGCAGCGGTTACCTCGCCGACTGTCCAGGAAGTGACAGCAGCAGCAGCAGCTCAGGCCAATGCCACTGCTCCTCCAGTGACTCCATGTTGGACTGTACTGAGGTCAGCAACCAGGGGGTGTACGGAAGCTGCTCTACGTTCCGCAGCTCGCTAAGTAGCGACTACGATCCGTACGTGTACAGGAGTAAGAGTCCCTGTAGGGGCTCTACAGGAGAACCGGGGGCTGCGGGTTGCACTGCAGCCCCTGCTGAGGACTCGTCAGTCTCTGCTCCACTAGGACATGATTGCCTCCAGCTCTCAGCTGGAGCTTCAGGATACAACTCGGGGGACCATCACTCCAACTGCAGTTTGGAGCCCAACTACAGCAGTCGTTCATCACTGGAACCCAGGGAGAACATCAACACAGGCACTACCTCAGCTGGGGCCCCAGAGGCCGCCTCGGCCGACAGGGGATCGGGAGCTCAGGAGGATTCGGGGGAACTTGGAGCTGCAGCCTGTAGCTGCTGTTTTGACGTCATTCCTCCCAATGCAGAAAGCAAAGGGCAGGATTTGGACCAAGCAGGGCCTGCAGCATCAGGACGCTGTCAAAGGGGCGGAGACTTTCAGAGCTCCTCCCCAAAGAACTACTTTACACCCGAACACCTGTATCCTCCTTCTGAGCAGGTGAGCTATGAAGGGTTGCCCTGCTGCTTCTACAAAGACATGAAGGTGCACAGGGCGGGACATTATAGCGAGGACTACGCTGTTAATGTGCAGTACGCACACTCGGACTCGGATGCCTGCTCGGGACAGGGCTGCTGTGAACTCAACCACAGAATACCCATAATTCCTGAGGACACAGACTGTGAAATGGGCTTGGGAGGGGAGACCCAGAGCAGCTTCTTACCTCTGAGCTTAACAGTGGAGGAGGAGCTGCAGACAGGGGAGCACCATGAGCAAAAGGAGAGGTACTTCCCCTCAGGACAGCTTAGAGGTCAGGCAGAGGAGACTAGGGCTTTATTCCACCCTCAGCTCTCCGCGAGCCCGCCTCTACAGGGAACTAGTATTTCAACAAATGAGGGAGAGATGGGGATATGAGCACGAGTCCAGAGAGAAGAGTCAAAGAATAAAAGTGGTACGCTGTCAGCAAGTCGTTAAAACCTTTAGTTGCCTTGCTCTAAACTTGCTCTCTGAGCACTGAATGTTATCATCTAAGATTGTGTGGATTTCTACTGAAATGGCGTCTTTTTACTTTCATTTTTTTCCCTCTGATAAGTAACGCATCATGTTCATTCCTGTTGCCACAAATGTCTCAAAACTGATCAGGCTAATTATTGCATTGTTTCAAAGGCTCTAAAAAGCCAGAAAGGGTTAATAATGTCTTTATTTTAAATAAAATCCAGATGTGCAAGTTGAAGGAATTTATCCGATAATATTTACAGACACATGACTATATTTTGTATTTTGCAGATGAATAGTGACAGCCTATAAAGCTATATAATTATATGGACATAGCTATACCAAACCAGAAAGACATGATTGTTTTTTTTATTATCTGAAGAGCATAAAAGTGGGTCTCACTCTGTAGGGTCTCTGTGATGAAACACAGACGAGCAAAGAAATGTGAATGCGAGGCTGACACTGGTTTATATTGACACTATACAAAAAAAAAACACATTTATGTTTCTTTCCATTGTGGCCTACCTGCATTACAGAAAGCATTAGAGTCTTATTCTAGAGAGAAATGGAGAGCAATATTTAACACTGCGTAACTTTTGGTCAAAATTCAAACCCAATTTGTGTCAGGTGTTTTGGAAGTCTGTAAGAAAATGTATTTTAGCTGGTTTCCTCTATGAGGCGTGCTCTTATTATACCAGTGAAATATTCTAGTTTGTATCTTAAGGCCAAAGGAAAGTAGCTAAGGTTGTATTTCATAAGGGTTCCTTATTGTACTGTGACTTTTTTTTTTTTTTTTTAAATGATGCAGTTCTACATACCACAGTGTATCCGTTTGAATCCTAACATGCCGTGCATTACACATTCATGCAATATCAATGCTCGTCATTCATGCCTTTCTGTTTGTACTGCAGACTATTTTTGTTTTTATACTGTTTCTATGAAATATACACGTTCTCTACATAGAGGAAAACCTGAAATAACCCTATTTATAAAAGTTAACCCAGTGCTGTAATCATGTGAGAATCTAATCTTTGCCTTTTGCAATAGATACGTACCTACGCTAAATATAACATTTTGGGGTACTTGAGTCACTATTTAATTTTTTCTGTTTTTGTTTCTAGCACTTAAGATAAGAAAAATGTATAAAAAAAAATTAATATTTTTTAATTTTCTAAGAGTAATTATTTTCCGTCATACAATTACAAATGTTTTAAAGGAAAAAAAAAGAGGCTAGAAATCAATCTGTGTATATTCTGTACCTGTATAGGAAACACATTTCATAAATGGAACTATGTTCTCTGAATATTTATTTGCTAATATATTTATCTTTAAGCCATGTCTTATGTTCAGAGTGTATGAGCGTTTGAGTTATTTGGTTGGTTTTTTGTTTTTTTTTTTGAGAGAGAAATCACTAACATGAGACTTTGTATATACATGGTAATTGCACACAAGACGATTAAATCTTCTCTGACCAAAAAACTGATTTTAAAACTTTAGTACTATACAGTTTTGTAATTAAAGTGTACAAAGATCTGTAAAATATACAGTTTAATTCAAGTAACTCTGTGTTTATTCTGGTTATTTTTTTAAATAAACTGTTGCAAACAGGCCAGGACCTTTTAACAGTATCGATGTATACCGAGGGTTTTATGGAATACCTTTTCTATTCCATCAAGTCCTTTTTTCGAGATGAGATGCCACTTTCCTCCGTATGTATAAAACAATCTATCTGCCCCTCTGCTGCACACTGCTTATCAGCTGACTGAAAGAAATCTTTCTACAGTTCCCCCATTTTTACTATTAAAACCAGCTTTTCTGCTTGTAAAACATTCTCTGAATAAAACCTGAAGGTGTTGCTATGGTAACATTGCTTTAGAACCACCACTGGCCCACTAAAAGCAAAATGTCTGTAAAGCAGCAGACTGCAGGCTAGCCAAAGACTGACTGGCTAGTTTTAGTATATACTTTTTTTCTCAATAAAGGCATAGAAAACAGGTGCAACATTCTTCAGAATAAGACATGTAGGCGTCCTCTCTGCTTCTCCCTTATTCAGTTCACTAAACCTTGAGTAGACTTTTCATAGTTCTACATGAGAAGCTCTTCTTCATGCAACTGAGACCGAACCTCCTTTATTATAAAACACTAACGTTTTTAAGGAGGGTAAGTCTGCATTGTGAGAAAAACAATTTAAAAACTGTTTAAAAGGTCTCTGTTTTAAGCTATTAGAGTTTGATCTTTGATCCATTTCTTTGCATACAGGAACATCCCAATACCTTCAAACAAACATACTGACATTTATTCAGTTCTAAAAGTGAAGGTTTTACAGTTTAATTGCAAACTGGTAAATATTTTGAACATTAATTGTTAGGGCTGGGTATTTTCGCCAAAGTCCTGAATCGATTTTATGTTGATCCATACAGTTCTAAATCGATTAATTTTGATTCGATCTGTTTTTACAATAATGAAAGTGGTTCAACTGTGTTTCAAAATACTCATGTATTTTATTTTTTCCTGTCACATTAAACACAAAGTGCAAACTTATAAATCAGATAGTTTGAACTTGAGATGTGAACAAAACTGTCTCAAAAGTGCAAACCTGATTGTGAAAAGTAAAAAAGTGAAGCCTCACTTGAGCAAGCAGACATGACACAGCGGGGACACAGCAGACATGCATGAGATGCATTATCTTCACTGCACAAACCATATTTGCAGCGTTGTCTTTAACAACTACAGGGTGTTTGCTGGTCAGCCCCCAATTGTTAATGTCTTCAGTCAACCTATTGGCTATATTTCCAGCTGTCTGGCTTGAAATAATCTTGAGTGCATCTTCCCTGCTTATTTGAATGTGAACGTCACGCGGGTCACTATAAAACTAATTGATCTCATTCTCTAGACATCGATTAAATAGATTTTTTTACCCAGCCCTATTAGTTTTATAATTGTGGCCTGAGCTGATAAAATCTAATTATTTGTCTCAGAAAATTTGAACAGAAGGCCTATTTTTAATGAGGATACAGAAATGTTAACCATGTCCAGGTTCTGTGCAGTATTGGGACTCGGCTGAGTCAGGGTAGCGTTTTCATGAACTGATGCAGAGTTTCAGCATGGCATGGGGGCGATGTGCCTATTGATCTGCTTAGGGTTTAAAAAAAAAAAAAAAAAAAAACAGGAGCCCCATTACCTTTAGAATGTGTGTTGGTTCTGGTCTCTTGTCTTCCTCTTCTAAGGTCCTGCTTTAAAAATCAATCAACATCTACATAAGAATTGAGGGTAGCCTGATTTTGGACATGATTAAATAGATTGGACCAAAAACCAACAGATGCGTCTTCATGAATCCCTGATGAATTTGGAAACTTGAATTCTGTGCCTCGTCCCCCTTTTCTAAGATATAGCTATCTTTTTATTTTTTGCCCAGTCGAGACATCTAATGTCTTTTTAATGAAAATATTAAAACCACCAATGTGACAGACCACACCGTATACATATATCTGTGTGTTGTGGGTCTTGAGATTAAATGGACTTTGCTTCAAAATCCTCTTCATGATTTTATCCCTGTTAATGTGGCATTTTTATCATAGTTTTTTCTTCCAATCAACTTTCCAAGTAAATAGAGAACTTTTTACAGTTAGCTTTTGTAGTTTACCGTCCTTGATAAAGATAAGTCTTCCGTATGACTGAACAAGTCATAACATTTTTAGTGCTTTAAATGATTTAATAAATAAGATTCACTTTTTACTTTAAAAAATGCATCCCTCTATAAGGAGCTGATATACGGAATAATAATTTTAATGTATCACAGTTAAACATATCTTGATAGATAATTTAACTTAAACTTTTCGTAGCATGAGAATCATACAAGATCATGCCTAGATTGAGCATTTTATTCACAAAGCATTAAAAAAACAAGATCAGTTCAAAGTTCTATTATTTATTCAAATGAGGCTAATGTTAAAAAAAAACATTTTTTTCAGAGGAGGTAATGAAAACATTTCTAGTGTACTTTTTTTTACAAGTGCAACATCACTTCCCAGATAATCCAATAAATAACATCCACCGACCTGCCTTGTTATTAAGCTAAGCTTTCTGCAGAGAGCTGCTGTGTCTGAAATCAGTCCGTAACACATCAGCCCCAAACGCAGTTTTTCTGTCCTCCTACGCGACGGATTTAGCGTGCAGCTCACAGCTTGAAACCTGAGTGAAGAGCCACCACTCCACCTGTGAAGTTGAAGTATTGCACGCTGCAGAAACCTGCATCCTCGATCATTCCTTTGAACTCCTCCTGCAGGAGAGTAGGAGCAAACCGAATGATTAAAGGAGAATCCACAAAGTCAAATCTTGTACGTTTTCTCAGCTTCGCTTCAGTTAAACTTAACTTTTTCAATTTTATATCAGTACACTTTTGCAGAATGGTTTTTAATAAGCAAGTCTTTTTGGGAAAACTGATTTCTAAATGTGCCAATGTAGCCATGATGATGCCTCCAGTTTCAGGACAAGACAAAAGAAGAAGGACACAACCTTTTAAAAGGAGGTATGTTCAAAGTGTCTGAACCCAGAGAAGCCTTGATTTAACAGCATGAGAGGCAACACCAGGCTGAGGTCACCACATCAGAGGAAGTATTATGGGATAAACAGGTGTTTGGACTGGTGATCAAGGTAAACTGTTCCTGCAGCTATTTGGTTTTAACTTACACAGTTGGACAAATCCAAACTTGATGCATTAAAAACATGTAGATAATTAACAGATTGATCAAAAATAATCTTTAAATTTACTTATATAAAATCGTAGCTACTTTTGTGAACTTGAAATTTGCGAGGGGTTTCATAAGATCTATCTAAAATCAT